TAACCAAGTTGTAGAATATGTCTCAAGGGTTCCGTACATATAAAGAACGTCGAAATCCGAGTTATAACGAAGAAGTTATGACCCGTCGAAGTTTCGCGACGGCACCTGCACGGCACCGGGAAGCGTAAAGAGTGAATTTACGATAGAGCGACTTTTAGCCTTAGCGACCTAAACGAAAGTTGTAGAATACGTTAAACCGAGAGCGTCCATAAAAAGAACGCCCAAAATCTAACTTCGTATGAGGAAGTTATGATTTTTCGAAGTTTCGGCTTAACAGTGTATAGCCTAAAGTTCGAATATTAGATCGAGCGGTTTTTAGCCGACACAACCTAAACGAGAATCGAAGATCTCGTTAATAGTAGCATAACGATAAAAAGACAGACGAAAACGGACGTCGGATAAAGAAGTTATGAATTTTTAACGGACCAATCCTGTCCCGGCCTGTTAAAAATTTAAAATTTAAAATAAAGTCAAAATTAGCCGACGAAGTCTAAACAAAATTTGTATAGTACGGTCCCGCCTACGCATGGATATAAAGAACGTCGAAAAGGGAGCTCGTATGCGAAAGATACGAATTTTTAAAGTTTAGACTCGAATTTGCGAAGCCTGTTGATGACGTGGCTCGATCTGGGCCGCCGCTTGCTGAGCACGGACTCGCTTCGGATGGGTGACAGCTGGCTCGCTACGCAGCGCGTACAAGAAGGAACGCCCCGCGTTCGGATTTACTTGGCTTCGGAAGGTCCACGTCGCACCAGGGAGGCTCGGACACGTCTTCATACGAACGCGCAGCGTAGATCAGGAGCGCCCCGCGTCCGAGGAACGCCTAGCGTAGATCCGAGGAGCGCAGTGCGTAGCCAGCAGCCTCGGGTATAAAAGGGTTGCGAGGGTCAGCCATTTTTCTCACCAATTCACTTCTACTTTCTCTCTCTCTACTTTCTCTCACTACCCCCCAAACCCCCCCTAAAGTCTAGGTTAACCCCCTAGGACCCGAAGGAAGCCCCAAGGCTCCCGGAGTCCCGAGAAAAAGGGTCTTTCGGTTCGGAAACGCTGCTCCGAGCAAAGCCCGGTTTTTAAGAAAACCCGCTGTAAGTGAGCTACGCCTACGCAATTTTTAATATAACTTTTAAATAATTATAGTAATGTTATTAGGTCCTTAAAATAATTATTTTGGCTATTATTATGAGTTATATTGAGTGTTATTTAACACTTATATAATAATAATAATAGCTAAACTATTAATTAGTCGCGGTTAACGTTAGACTAAACCCTAGTGGCATTGATACTAGGTTTTGTCGAGGGAAAAATTATTTTGAGATAACGAAACGTTGTTCGAGTGCCGAGTCACCACCTAATCAGGTGAGTGCATAGTCTCTTTCATCTTACACATAGATATGAAGTATTTAATATAAATTACGTGCTATGTGTGCATATTATCTGTATACTTGTCATCTGTGCTGGGTGAAAGATTTTTATACATGTTTTAAATGATTTAAACTGTATATGTATTTTATATCTACAAAATGTGTTGGGTAAAACATGGGTAGATGAAATAGTTGCTGTGTGACAAAAATATAATGATGATAAGTGATATAGACCATGAGATAACGGTGAGAGGTAAACCATGAGAGAAGCCTTTTACCCATGTGTTGGCCCCGTCATTTAGTAGAGTATGGATGACAACCACGGACTATTCTAGACAGTCCAGTGGACACTAGCAGGCTCGCAACCTGTAGGTGTTTTGAACTGTGTATTCACCAGGTGTACTCTAAAAAAAAACCATTGACATGTACTGCGAGTGGATTCTCGGAAACGATATTGTCGATAAACAAACCCTGGCGACTATGAGACGTAGTGCCTATGCGACTTAGTGCCTGTTGTATAAACATTGGCGACTATGAGACTTAGTGCCTAAAACCTGGCGACTATGCGACGTAGTGCCAATTGAGTAGACTCTGGCAACGATGGATTTCGTGCCGATTCTTTAGGATAATCCTTAGGAATAAATGAACAAGGGACATTTGATTCTTAGGGTGGAATAAAGAAGATAATGGGGATGGGTAATTGGGTTGATTGTTTAATTGTTTAAACATAATAATTATAATATTGTGGGTTGAAAACTCTATGTACTCACCAGGTTTCCCAACCTGACCCACTCAGTTTATTTGTATCACAAGTGTCGATGTGAAGCTACCTTACACTGAGAGATTTAAAAGAGATGTAGATCACTAGTGTAAATAAATGTAAGTTCTGTTTATGCTTATGTTTCTGTATTGACGATGACATCCCAATGTTTTGAAAATGAATAAAAATACATTTCTTCGGAAATGCTTTGATAACGTATTTATCATGTTTTACTGGGAACAAATTCCGCAACATTTTTATTAAAAGAGGTACTCTGATTTTTATAAAGCATTAAACAAAATCGGTCTTTTCTGGCCGTGAAAATTATCTAGTTAATTTTATAATAAAAACAAATAGAGATCGGACGACTGTCTAGATTCGTTTTTTTTTCATTTAAAATAATAATACCCAACAAGTCAAGACAAAATCTTCATTAAACAAAAAGAAATCAAAATTTTTGGGAGTTTAAAAATCCAAAACTAACAAATAACCAAAATGTAAATCTAAACCGGAACAAACCCCTTAATTTAAAACCTAAAAGTTAAAAACAAAAACTAACACCTCATTTGTTTCACAAGGGTTGTAGGGTTGTAGAAGTGATGTTGTGATCATTGGGTTTGCACAAGGGGATACAACACAATTTTGACGATGAATGGACCACCGAAAAGTTAGAGGTGGACAGTGGATGGGTCTTCACAGAAAATGGATTGGTGAGAGACGTATACAGTTAGAGACATGGGATGGAATAGGTAAGGACAAGATGGAGATGATGATGACGGTCATCAACAGCTCCAACACACATCTGTTTACGCATTTTCTGGTGGTGGAGACAAAAGATTACATTGGTGTTGTTCTTGTTCAGATATATACTAAATTATAGAAATGAACCTTGATGTTTATTAGATTTTCATATTTGGTCTAAGGGTATATTGGTCATTTTAAAAAAATAACATTTGAAAACTTAACAATGCAACAAAAAGAATCCACGATGACCGACGTGTAGTGTTTTTTATGGGTGTTTTCAACATGATACCTTTTCTAAACTTCATTGATCAATAATGAAATTTTATAATATTAGTTTTCCAATAAAGGGGTTGTTTGTTTCACCTCTTAACATTTCAATTAACAAATAACCTCTTAATCATTCAATATTTTGAGTGTTTGGTTCCTCCATTTTTACATCTAAATTGCTTAGAACACCTCTAAACCATTAAGAAAAATAATAAATATGAATCATTCAACAAAATAAGAATTCCCCTTTACCTTTAACCTGTAATCTCTATCTCTTTCTCTTTTCTAATATGTCGGCATCCTCTCCGCCAAGAAAAACCATCAGCGTATCACTCAAGCCTTATCGTCGTCTAACACCTAAGTCCCCTGGTTGTCCTCCCCTACTCCTCAAGCCCATGCGAGGTAAACCCTATTCTAGATCTATACATGTGTGTTTCTCTCCTATTCATCCAAAAGGCAAAAACTTAAGGTGATCTAATTGTTAGTCTTCCTTCCAACGAGTCAATCAAGAAGTTTACATGTTCTTCTTTTTTAGTGGAATGCTCCTAAATACGTCAAAAAGAACACACCTACTTATATCATATAAGTATTTGAAACCCATGAACTCTTTACAATGTACTATATTTTTCCCAAATGAATCCAAACATGTCTTACACCAAACTAGGCACATCTCATCAACCCAAAATGACAAAATCGTGAGGCAATACTTGGGGATAGTATAATACTCCAGAGGTGACATATGTTGTCCTAGACTATCTATAAGGCCAACCATAAGGAAATCATGAGCATATAGTGCTTGTAGACACTTAAATAATGTTTTATGTCTAACTATCTTATTGTATGTACTTTCATGTCCTGGATAATTTTACTAAAATGAGCAGTTGATAATGCATGTTGGGCTTTAGGAGTTGATAATGCATGTTGGGCTTTAGGAGGTGTCCTTGATAATGCATGTTGGGCTTTAGGAGGTGTCCTTGTTAATGAAACCCCCAAAGTTAAAGCTCGAAATCATATCACGAAGACAAGACAAAGCACATTCATTATCATAATTCATAATGGTAAAGAAACAAGTCATCATAAGATACATAGATAATTTTAATGAAGAGCTTACCTTTCCTTTCATTTTTTGAGGAATTGTAAAAATGAGGAGAGTTGAAAAGGAAATGAAAAACCATAACAAGGAAAATTTATATTCATACCTTTTGTACATACCCGTCTTCTTGCCAACAACTACATCAAGACAGACGTCAAAATTAAGAAAAAAGATTAAGAGAGAGAATTAATGGATTCTACACATCATATAAATTATTATTTTATATGAGCAAAAAGATGAGTAAAAAAATAATAAGATGATATTTAATTTTCCTTCAAAAAGGACGTTTTAATAATGAGCACCACAGACTTTGCAACTCTCAGCTTCATGAGTTTCAAACATGGTGGTCATTTTCACTCTTTCTTTTTTATCAAACTGTTTAAAGACATTAGGAAAATGATCTTTTCCTATAATCATTCATAACAAAAACATTTTTTCCATTATCAGTTGTATTTATCAAACTGTTTAAAGACATTAGGAAAATGATCTTTTTCTATAATCATTCATAACAAAAACATTTTTTCCATTATCAGTTGAATACAAGATCTTAAACCAATCCTATATGACAAGAATGAAACGTTTTTTGCATGATTCAAAACTTACACATTAACCTTTTACACGTTTAGAGTAAAGAAAGGCTCACAAACAAAATAATAATATTAATAATACATGTGTATTTATATATAAATATATATACTATTGGACATATGAAGCTCTACAATCAACTAACCCACAAAATAACTCCCATGATATTGATCGATATGAAAAGCTATCATCACATGACAAGCGAAAGACCAGCTTCCATTGATGAAGACGGTTGCACAGCTCGGATTCTAACATCATATTTTCTGTATGAAGAAACTTCACTCCCGGAGGCCGAATCTGATCCATCTGCTACAAGGGGGTATGATGAGGTAGTGTCATCATAAGCATTACCAATGTGATTATTACATTTTCGGCACATAAGTTTGGTTTTTCTACGGAATAGACCCCAAAAGTGTTTTGAGATGAAGTATGGTACGCATTTGAACTCTTCTACTTGAGTGAATCTACTTTCATCGATTGAGAAGAATGATATTTTTCCTGTTTTTATGGATTTACCGTATTTCGAACCGATTGTTGCCGTATTGCGTGCGGATGAGCTTAGGTTCAAGTCGTATCCGCAAGACCCGCATCTGCACCATTGAATTATGAAATGTTAATTCCAGACACAAGGGTAAAATGGTCATTTGCTTCCTAGTATCAGAGTTAAACGGGATGAACATCAAACTTGTGGACGATATGGATGACATCACAGAGGCTGCCATTACTTTATAAATTTTTTTTTTTTTTTTTGAGCCTAACACTAATCTATTCATATTATTAGATTTTATATTTTTAGTGAATGTTGGTCATGTTTTGTTAGTTTTACTATTTGAGAAATACAATAATCTTCAATTAGCAATTATCAAACAACCCTTTACTTTAGCATTTGTTTCTAATTTTGCAAGTTGTGACTTCACATTTCTATTTATTTGGTAAAAGAAGACCTCATGGCACCAACAAAGACACTGGCATTTCAAGCCATAGAACTGGACACCTCCAATCCCTTTGACTCTGAGAGATGTAAAAACACTTTTTTCTTTAAAAAACAATTTGTATCTTTAACTTTTGTAAGTTATTCTTGTACAATGTGAATAACCCTCCTTACAAATAGATAATGGTATAAAGAGTTTATAATCATATTAACTAAGATCAAATTTGTTGTCCAAAGTATTTTACTAGTGTCTGTGTCTCCCCAGCACAAACATAACATGCAGTTTTCAACCTAATTATAATCAATCCAACCAATCTCTCCACAATATTGACCTCTAAAGTATTGTCACCATTTGCTGCTTTCTCATTATTTCAATCAAAAAAGATCCAAACACTACAGCATACCAACTGAAATTCCATGTTTGTGAAATTAAAATGGATGAAATTCTAGAAGATAGAAGTAGCTAACGGTATAGATTTTTTTTTTTTTTTCTGATTTTGCTGACATGGAATTATCAATTGACAGATAGCGTTCATATCTAGCCTACCAGAATAAATTCTATCCCTATTATTTTGTTAAGTCCATTAAGTCAAAAAGAAACAACACCAAAATTGCTATTTCTTTGAGTGTCAGAAAGTTGGTGGAATGAGGCATCAAAATAGGACCATATGTTCAAGCTGGAAAACGACTGTTATCAATTCACCAAATCGGCAATAATTGCCATGAGATAGAAACAGATTTCAAGTTTGATGAATTCACCAATAACCCGTTTGGCATACCTATCTTCCGGGTTTTTATCCCTCCACCAGTAGTACTTATCATCTGAACTCTGAACATCTATATAACTTTTAGTCAACCCACCATTTATGAATTTTGTGAGTGCACTATAAATCGTGGTACAAATGGAGGACACTACTGTATATGCTTTTTTATAATCAAAGAAAATGCTTTTATGATTTCCTCAGCGTCTGCCTACTATGCAAATTTTCAATTGGATAAGGGAATTTATTGGACGTCTACTAAGAACCTAGAATCAAATAATCATAAGCGGAAGAAGATAATCGAATCAAAAGGTATATCCGAGCACCATTGAACAGAGGTGGACTCATCAATACTGACATATGCGACACCCAAACCAAATCAAACCAACTATGATCAAAGTTCATTCCATAAATCACAGTAATTTTCAAACAGGAAGCTTCGAATTGATCCTAACTATTACGATAGCGACAATGTAAGTTGACTCTGCAAATCAACGGCAACAAGATAGCTAACTAAAAGGCATGAAATTTGATGATTATACTAAAAAAAGAAGGAAGAGGGACCTGTAAGTGACGTCACGCTGAGAAGAAGCAGCAAAAGAGGCGTTATGATGAGATTTGTTCAGATAACCATTGGAGATTTCCATATATGAGAAGAACCCTACTTCTGAATTATTAGGCGGAGGATCGGAGGACGGTGGGAATCAGCGGAGGAGTGGTGGTGGATCGATCCGGTGCCTGTAAATGTTACCGTTCCGGAAGATTCGAAGCGAAGGCAACTGCTTACTGCTGCAGTTGGGAAAAATGGGCAAATGGGAGCGTGAAAGGAGACCGAGTTGTATTGTATTCGTATGTGGTGGGTCCATGGGCCGCATTGATTGATTTGTCAAACATGATGAGGTTTATTTTATTAAGGTGACACTCCACATGTCATTGTTTTTTTTTTTTGGGATTTGTGGTGGGAATTTTAATTTTACAGAAATAGTCCATCAGGTATATATGTATCTATCTTTTTTGTCTAAATTTTGGAAAATTGATACCATTTTCAAATCAAGCACTTTTGGTCCCTTCAATCATTACTGTCTGCCCATGTCCCTCCGGTAGAACCCATCATGTGCCTTGAACACAAGGGCTTTTTAGTCTTTTCCAACCAGGCCCGTCCCAGAGGGTGGGCGATAGGGGCGACCGTCCATGACCCATCTTTTAAAATGACCCAAATTTTTTATGAAAATTGTTATATTTATAGATGGTACAAATAATTTTCTTTTAGTTTTTGAGTTATTATAAAAAACTTGATTATAATTGTATATTTTAAGGGTCCATTTTTTCTTTCGCCCTGGGCCCAAAATATATTTGGAACGGTCCTGTTTCCAACCCCTCTCTCACTCACACCCTAATGTATATATTATGAACCCATAAACAATTTGCAGCCTTCTCTTTTTAGTCTCTTTCTATGTATGATTAATATAAATGGTGCTGATCATACGAAATGAAAATGACGAACGTTTTGGCATCAGTTGACGCTTTATTATCCTTATTAAAACCCTCTAATTACATGAATAATTTAACTATGGTTTTCATGTTGTTGGGCACTTTCATCAAGGAAATCATGAGTTTTATTTGGTTTTCATTATTGATTCCCTGGTTTTTGTTACTATGCACAAAACTCATATACATGTTTAAGTATTTCAGTTTATTGCAGCCATCCACCTATGAGAAGCAAACAAGAAACATGGTGGGAAGACATCAAGTGTATATTGCAAAAAAAAAAAAAAAAAAAAAAAAAAAAAACACCAAAGCAAATTCTTGATTCTATAGGATGTTGAGGCAGCCAATGCATTGAATCACATAATTGTTTTCGTTTGCTTATAGCAAACCCTTGCAACTATATAAACATCAAAGAAATTAATAAAAATTAAACATATAATGAATCAAAATGTGTTTTGGGAACCAAAATATAGACGAATACTTCAACTATATACAACTGTAAGTGTAAAAAATTATAAAGGGGACCATGGTTTAGTGTTGAAAATATACAAAAAGGAAGACGATCCGAGTCACACTAGAATGTCCACCAAACGATTCATTTGGAAGTATATTAACTGTAGCTTAGGAAACGATTGGTTTTAAATTTTGCCATGATTACATAGCGAATGGCATCAACATGTAAGGGGGAGAAAGGGTGGAATATACTAAAAAGCCCTTGTGTGTAGCATGGGATGGGTTCTAATGGAGGGGCATGAATGGTCACGGTGGACCAAAAATGTTGGATTTGGAAACCATGAGGATGATTTGCATCAATCTCCTAAAACTTGGACCAAAATGCATATAAATGCATACATAAAGGACCATTTCTGTAATTTTCTCTTAAACATATTTCATGTCAAAGTTTAGGTATTACTGTTTTAAACTTTTAATATTGTGATTTTGTTTTTCTTATTGACTGTGATTATGCGGGGTCGAGGCGTGATATATTCGCTTATAGTTATACCATTTTCTTGGTTTTTTGGACTTATATCTCAAGGGCTTGCGTCATAGTGAACAAGTTTAAGTTTTTTTAATTTTTTTTTCTTGACTCTATCATTTTTGGATGAGGATTTGGCTTCATATAATAGGCCCGATCACCATGAGTATTTGAGTATGAGAGGTGATACATAAAAAAACTAATTTATCCACATAAGATACAACACCCTTACAACTTGTATCATACAACTATGTAAACAAACACCCAAACATTGCGTGAAACCCAAATATCAAATCAAAGCAAAACCAAACCAAAAACAGTATATACAGGCAAGAATGAGAAGCCATTTAATTTGGTGATACGTTAGCAGACTTTGAACAATACACCTTTTTTTCTACTTTACGACATAGTCAACATTGTAGGGGGGACTGAACTGCAGACTCTCTTTGAAGCAGAGATTGTGCCTGCTGACTCGAAGACCGAATGTAGCTCGATGAACCATTACCTGAATTCGAATAAAACGCCATATAAATCGAATTCAGAGGTGATAAAGTAGGGCTGGCAAATGAATTGGAGTTAAAATGAGAGCCACGAGAAGATCTGTATGACGAAGATGCATTTCTCATGTCTAATGAGTTTTCAGCTGAACTCGGGTAACGCGATTCATGGTAACTCGGGAATGATTGTCGAGGGGTGTACGATAGTGATGTAGGCGAGCGCCCTATTTGCATCGGTCTTGATGACACGTAGGATGATGACATGGAGGTTGATGCCACGGAAGCGGGTGGGGACGATAGTAAGGGTGTGCGTTCGGTGGCTGGTGGATCGGGTATGGTGGTGTTGGCGTTGCGCTTGCAAACAGGGCAAAATGTTCTCCATGATGTTAGCCATGCATCCACACAAATCATATGAAATTCTGTTAAAATCAGATTAAAACATATGATTATTATGTACTTGTTCAGAAATACCTAAAACAGAGAAAATCATTAATGCTTATCGATTTATACAATTACCATGGGCAAGAAAACTTACTGTGGCTGCAAGGCAGGATTCTAATCTTATCTCCGACATTATAATCATCAAGGCATATAGCACATGTTGCAGAAGTGCAATTATCTTCTAAATCTTCAGTAAATTCAAGGGTCGGCATTGCCTTCACTAACTGGCTGCTCATCCCACCGTATTCCCGCACACAGCCTCGGGGGCGATTTCGTCTTATTCGATGCCTGCGGACAAAACAACAACTCGCAACTACTGCTGACATGGCAAGTAATGAGATGAATGACACGGCCATAATTGACCATGCTGAGTTCTCGTAGCTTTCCACAAACAATACTTTAATTTCCTTGACACCAACATATTCTTGGAGTTTTAATCCTGTTGATTGTGAAACAAATACAACGTGTATATGTATACCACCGGGATCTCTCATCACTGCAGTTTCAATGAGCTGTAATTAGTTTATTAATCAATTGACTATCTGATCCTGATTATGATTCTATAATTCACAATGATTAGAAAAACATATAGGGAAAGGGGTATACTTGGGAACAAATTGCTGTCTTCATCGTTATAAACAATTGCTGCTTTGAATCCTGCAGCCTGTGCTCTTCGGATTTTATCCACAAATTCACATCCTCCTTTGATGATTAGTAAATACCCGGAGTTGATGCTGTCTTTAGTTAAAGTATTAGTCAAGGGTGAGCAAGCATCAACTGGGGATGCCAGGAATATCGTTCCATGTTCCCCAGACCCTGTCACAGATCGCCCTGAAAAAGAAAAGATTCAATCTTTTTACTTAATGAATGTTCAAGAAAAGTACAATGATTTAATAATAGAAAAGCAATATGCTTGACACTCAAAGTCAAATTATAGAATCTTTGTAGGATGCAATTTACATTTTACAGTAGCAGAAGATATTAGATCAAAGTTTAGAAATTATGTCTACTAAGTACTAAAGCTCGGGCCTTTTGGAATTAATGTAGCATAATTATTTTATAGATTGAATTCAATTCAACAGATTCTATAAGAAACCATATACTCGATTTAACAAAAAAATAAAAAAAAAAAAAAAAAAACTCACCAAAGTTAGCTGGAACAGCTTTGAACGACAAGCTGATATTATTCCCGATCAAGAGAATATTAGCAAAGGCCCCAGAAGCCGTTAAACAAGCAAAGGCACATAACAAGACGCAAAGATTCAACATCTCTTCTGAATCAACAAACCCACATAACCCCTAAGATCTTATACCACTGAATCTTTGGTTATCTAACCAGATAGAGGGAAACTAGAATCGGATAGCAACATCAGATTCCATACTCATAGATAGATATCTAATCTATTCTGGCATGTTATAGTTTAGGGTATTCTGTGGTATTTGAGGCTAATGAGTAATGAGAGAGTTTGAGTCCGTGGATGACTCTTTAGTCAAATCGAAAGATTCGGAGTTGAATTATACATGTCAATTCTATTTTATATTTATCAATTGGGTATTTGGGTTTTAGTGATGACCGATCAGTGATGAACGAGCCGTGAAAATGGAGTGAGCCGCCGCCATTCGCCCATAGCTTGTTCTTGGGCCAGGTGGGCTCTAGATTACGTGCCAGAACTTTTCTTTGGCTATTGGTTATTGTTTATATTTGTTGTATTAGCTCGTTAGTTGAAAGCTAGCTGATGGCCGAAAAACTAATTGTTAAATAAAAAGTTAGTTGGTAGCTAAAAAACTAACTGATAAAAAAATAAAAAATAGACATACAAAATTGTAAAAATGGTCCCTTTGATATGTCAAAATTGTCACTTTTGGTAAAACAGGTTTAGACTAGCACTAATGATCCAAAAAGTTTCATTTTGTTGCGAGTTTGGTCCATTTTGGTTTTAAATGACGATTTTTGCCATTTGTATTTTGTTTTTTTAATTTTTTTATTACATAAATCAAAAAAGAAAAAAAAAAGCTCTCTCTCTCTCTCTCTCTCTCTCTCGACACACCTCTACAACCTTTTCCCTTTCTACCACCTCTATCGTATGAGTTCAAAGAACAAGGGATTTTCCGGCAACCACCAACACCAGTCACCAGTTCAACACCACCACCAGCATCTATATTATGTCAATAACGATCGCCACAACAGATCTGAAAAGCTAGGACGGTGGATCCATAGATTCCAGATCTGGCGCCGCTACAAACCCTAACACCTTGAAACAACTGTCGCTGCAAACCGGAGACACCTAGGGTCGATTTGACACACCCACAAACTCGAACAAGACCAACGATATTAAACACACACACACACATAAACGCTACAACAAATCTGAAAAGCTAGGGAGAGGAAGTCGTCGCCGCCATCAGCAAACGTCCGTAAAGAGAAAAGGTTTCTTCGACTTCACCTTCGTCTCCTTCGTCGAGTCACATCTGGAGTGTATGTAGATCTGAGAAAGGGGGCGACCGGTGAAGAACGGACTGAGAAAAAGGGACGAACTGAATCGGTTTTGTTATCATGTTCGTCCATGTAGGGTTTACAGAGGTGAAGTTGTCGTCGGAGCAGAGGAGATAGAGGACAACCCATCTGAAAACCCTAGCCGCCAAGAAACCCTTACTTCAGATCTCGATCTCCTTTCTCTCGTCGTCGGCTGTCGAGGTTCAAAAAGAGTGCAACAACGATTGAAGCGGGTGTTTGGGTTGTAACACCGTAAAATTTCAAACAAATTTATTTTATTTAAATCACATGATTCTCATAACACATTTCACAAAATCTCATTTATTTAATTCACAAATCACAACTCCATAAATGTTTAATTAAGACTCCAGGATCCTCAAAACATAACTCTTTCTCTGGTGTGTACAATCAAGCCGACGCCTTCCCGCGATCCTGAGAAACCTGAAACACATATCACATAACACGGTAAGCACGAAGCTTAGTGAGTTCCCCAAAATACCACATACAACTCATTAGCCACTCGAGGCTATAACTCTGTAAGAACCTCTTGGTCAATGTGTCTCAGTGGGACCCTCCAATCCCACAACTCTGGTGGACCCTCTGGTCCTAACTCTGGGACCCTCTGGTCCTAACTCTGGAAGCTCTAAGTGATACACAACATAAGTCACAAAGAAATAATGCAGGATATCACAATACACAGGTAAGCACATAAGACATCTCAGTCACACACAAATACCACTCATGGTAAAGCATAGTGAGAAGACTCACCTCGGATGATGAACAGCCCCTATAAATGTTGCTGCTATGCACCAACCAATAAATATGTGCCAAACCCACAATTATCCCAATTAGGAACTAAGTCCAAACTCTCACTCATTAGGTCTAAAGGTAGTCCACTAACCAGCCCATCAATGACCGAAAACCCATTGGGCCCACCAAGGCCCAATAATAAATGGGCTCTCCCAAGGCCCAACTCTCAATCTAAATGGCAAGCCCAACTCAAGGGCCTAAAGCACAATATAATATTTATCTGCTCAAAGTCACTAATACACAAGCACAAAAATCCAGGCCCAACCCTTAAGGCCCAATAATAAATTCAACCCAAAAGCTCACAGAGGGGTTACGCGGTGACAGCCGCCACTTTCTTCTTCTTTAGCCGGTGGTAAGAAAGAAACAAGAGAGATAGAGAGAGAGAGAGAAAGAGTGTGTATGTGTGTGTAAGAGAGAAAGAGAGCGGGTGTGTGATAGTGAGTGAGTGAGAGGGTAATTTCCTTTTTTTGTAATAAGAAAAATGGAAAAAAAATACAAAGGGCAAAATCGTCACTTTAGAAAAAATTAAACCAAAATCACAACAAAATGGAAACGTTTGACCCAAAGTGATAATTTTCGACATACCATAGGGACCATTCTTGCAATTTTGTCTAAAAAATAAAATTTTGGTAAAAGTAGCTGAAAAAACTAGTTGTTAGTTGAAAAACTAACTGATGGCTGAAAAACTAGCTGTTAAATAAAAAACTATCTGGTAGCTGAAAAACTAACTGATAAAAAATAACATTTGGTAAAACTAGTTCAAAAATATAAAATGACGTTAAAGAACATTTAAAAAAATGTGTTTATATAATTAATTAATGGGTATATTTCGACTTTTTTTAAAAAGCTCATGAAAAGCTAGTTTAAGTAGCTTTTTAAAAAGCTAGCTTATAAGCTACATTTTGGCTTGCCAAAGATGACAACTTAAAAAGAGTTCGAAAAATAAACTAGCCAAAAACATCATTTATGTGCTAGATCTTTTCTTTTAAGAGACATTTTATAAACAAGAGCATTGAATCAAAAGTTTTTAATTGGGTATTTTTTTTAATGCCAAGAATACTATGAAACCACCATTAACCGAAATACAAGGCAAATTGGGAGCTATCCCACGATAATAATCTATCTTTCCTAATTTTGCTTTTTATCCACTAAAAGAAGGTGGTTTTAATTTCACATAAAATGGAATTACAATTTATGAACATGCTCTTGAAAATATTGTTGTCCCTATACCACCATAAAACTCATATGAAAGCCAAGAGAATCACTCCAAGTCTATTTCTTTTATCCTTCTTATATGCATCCCTCTTCTGAATAGTTTGGAACATATATTCATAACCATATCAGTTGGGAACTCATGACTCCACATATTAAGAAGAGTGATTACTTCTTTAGCCGTCGAACACTTGGTAGGTGGTTCTCCGTCACCTCGTAACTGTGGCACAAAGGGCAAAGCGTGGATTCGATTTGAGAACTTCTCACTGCCAAATTCTCCAATGTTGGTAAACGACCAACCTTGTTCTCCAAAATATCACATTTTCCCTATTGGTATTCAATTTGTTCCAATAAGTATGAAAATCTAAATGCTCAAGAGTGTGGTAGTCGATGAGCTTTTTGATGGAAGAAACCATGAAAATCATGACATCTTCGAGGTCCCACTCCCAACCTTCATTAGTTCTGTAAAACATGTTTCTCAGATCTATATTTCCAAGGTTAAGTGTTTTATTGATGTTGTTGTGTTCCCTATGTCCATCTCTTGTCTGCAGCAGCTGAGCGACAAACCCCAAGTTTCCTATTCGGGCCATGAATGGATTTTACCATATCATGCCATAGAGATCCTTCTTCTTTCTTAAACCGCCACCACCATTTTGAGAGCAGAGCTAGGTTAAGTGATGTAAGGATTTCAATTATGAGACCTCCATTAATATTCGAGTTTAAGACATTCTTCCACGCAACCCGTGCGATTTTTCTTTTATCCAGTTCACCCCCCCCCTCCACCCCCAATATAAATAAATAAATAAATAAATATATAACACTGAATGCTTTCTAGTTTATTAATGACTTTGGGGGGAGCCTTGTAAAGAAAGAACATGTATGATCCCAAGCTCTCGAGAACCGCTTTACAAAGCACTAATCTGCCTCTGAAAGAGAGACAATCACTTTTCAATTTGAAAGTTTATTTTGAAACTTTTCAATTAGAGCTCTTGAGTTTGACATTCTCGACATACCTCCACCAACTAACATTCCAAGGTAATAGAAAGGGAGAGTCCCTTCCTCACAACCTAAACTTTTCAATTAGATCTCTTCAGTCCCTTCCTCACAACAAAAATCAGGTCGATCAGATTTATAACAAATTAATTATGACAGTTTAAAGTGAAGTGAAATTTATGAACATTGCAGAAACATCAACAAATCAACTTTGATACCTCATGTTTAGGGTTGTAAGTCAGTCAATCATATCTAAATAAGGTGTTTCTGAAGTCTAAAAATTGAGAAAAAAAACATTAAACTCCATTCTGGAAAAAAAAATATGACTGATCGGACTTATAACAAATATGTTATGACAGTTTGAAGTGGAGCAAAAATATTTCACAATGTAGAATTTTTTTTTTTCCGGTTTTGGATCATGGACTCGATTAGCTCTAAACCTAATGGACCAGGACCCAACGATCCAGACCCAATACTTGGTTTTAGTCCAATGACTGGCCCGATAGCTAGAGTGGTTTTAAGTAATCCAATTCCGGTTTGGTTCTAGTTCGAGGCCGGGTTTCGGCTTCAAAGCTCAACCCTATGTTATCATGTATTATTAGTGGCTAATTCATATATTTTAAAACTTTCATGAACATTATATAAGTTTAATAGTCAAAAGATGTGAAGTGACCCGATTTAAAATTAAAGTTTTTAATTATGTTGAAGAGATGAAGTACTTATCGATAATTAAAGGGTTCCCGTATATAGTATACTAGACGAATTCCCGCGCGTTGCGCAGCGAAGATTAAAAATATATTGTTAAAATATTGAAAAATATATATTTAAAATGGTTATGTTATTGACATTAACTTTGAGATAATATTTTTACATTAATTTATATATATATATATATATATATATATATATATATATATATATATATATATATATATATATAAAATCTCAATTATTTTGAACAATAATATTCATTGACATCAACCCACATTCTTCATTAATAGAATTAAATATAATTATCTATTTAGTATTATTTTTAACAATTATTATTATTGATTAATTATATTTTTAATTATGCGATCATTTTCTAATTTCAATAATGATGTTTATTTAAAATACAATTTATTTATAGCTAAATGTAATTTATAATTTGATGTTATTATCATTTAAAATTGTTATTCATTAATTTTAAACCACTTATTATTAATAATAAGTTAAAGAAGACTTTTAAGAAACACTTAATATTATTATTAAAATGTGAAACATACACTAAATAATAAAGTGATAAGATAGACAATTTGCATTTCAAAAAAGACTTGCATGAATAATATGACATATCCATGTAATTTCATTAATTTGATTTTATTATTTATAATTATTGCTTATTAATTTTAAAACCATTTGTTATTATTAATAAGTGAAAGAAACTTTTAAAAAGCACTTATTATTATAATGAAAATGTTAAACATATACTAAAATATAAAGTGATAAGATAGACAATTTGCATTTTAAAAAAGACTTACATGGATAATATGAATAATATGATACATCCATGATTTTTAATTAATTATTGTTTTGAAGCAACATGAACATACAAACATGTATACAATAGTTAATTAAATATTATATATATCACCTTCCATAACATATGATCGATAACATGAATCTAATCTAATTTACATTAAAAATTTCAACCACAACATACAATGATGTTCTTAAAAGAATACTTAAATCAAGAAAATACAAAAAAGAATTAGTATATAACAAACTTACAAATTAAAAAACTTCAACATAATAACATGGCTCGAAAAATTATTCAAATCACTCAAACCAACACAAAAAACTTTAAACTTGTTTTCTTTGTGAATTTTGTATGTGATTTGTGTTTGTGTGTCTACTAAAAAAGATTGACCTTTTTATAGTAGAGTATCAATTAATTGTTTATTAAATATATTATATAAGTTATAAAACCTTTGAATTGTTAATCATTATTAAGAGACTTTTGAGTGGTATTCATTAAAATAGAAGGTTTCAAATGCATGAGGTGTTTGCAAATTTTTATGGGGGTTTCAAATGAATGAGGTTCAAGGAAAAGTGCTAGCTTTATAAGTATGTATGATATGATGCCATCCAAATTCACATTATATACAATAGTCAAGAATACTGATTACTGAAAGGAAAAGAATGGGAGAAAGTGATATAGATATAGCAAAAGAGTGAAGTTCTTCACACATAAATACAAACAAGGATTACATAAAAGACTCATCACCATTTCCAGAACACATTGGAACCACACTTGAATTTGTCCTTCCCTTTGCACTCCAACTCTAGATCTTCCGATAAGAATGGCACTTTCTGCATTAGGTATCAAGCAATTAAAACCATATATACCCAAGATCTTTATGTTAGATCTTGTGATTCATGCAAATTAAACTCTTAACAATCTACATCTATAACACTGTTAATCTGTTATGTTATTGAATTCGTTCTTAATATTTAGAGTTCAAACCTTTGTCTTTGCAAGATCTTGGCAGCCTGTGAAGTTGTAGGGGAAGGTGCATGTTCCAAACTGAACTGTGTATGCTCTTGCAAAGTTTGCACCACTTGTTGCCAACCTCTTTTGGTCATTCAATTCCTTAATTAAGCCATTACAAATCAAAAACAATTAATTAAATATAACCATGTATTGATTTAAAAACGGTTTTGGAGAAAGAAACCAAACCTTGTTAGCTTTAGACTTCTCAAGATAATCGTCAATGACGCCGGCATTGGCGGAGGAGGTGGCACTGGCGAAGAGTGCAGCTCCCAGACAAAGTAGAGCGGCTCTTCTTCCCTGCTGCGACTGATCGATGGAATCAGACGATGAACTCACAGTCTGCTTAGCCCTGATGACCGGCAACTTGTAACTGACGGCTGCAGGTGCGGCGGAGGAAGGCTTTGAGTTGAAGTCCGGGGAAGCAAGACCACCGGAGACTGCGTAGTTACAGGCCAATACACTGGAGTTCATTGTGGCCATATTAGATCAATGGTGTTTAGGAATGATTTTGATTCGTTGGTGGAATTTTATATACAAGAAAATTGTAAGAGATATAAGTTTGTGGGTGAGACTGATGGATATGAAAATGGTCTGTGGTGGGAGTGTGGATAAGGTGAGATTGCTTCATTCTTATTGGCACATCTTCCTCTCTTGTTGATATGGAATATTTCTCTGTTTTGTCTTTTAATTTTTTATATTCTTCGAATAAAGTATGCAAAAATAAAAAATGGTGATTAAAGTTTTGTGTTTTTTTGTTATATGGTTTAATTTAATATAAGCTTAATGGTTGTATATTTAAATATAGTAAGTATATTAATGACACAATGTATATTAATATTTAAGTAAAGTAACTAAAAAATACTTAAATTAGGATATACAGGGGAGAAATAATATTTTACATACCAACGTCAACGTGTGGTAGCAACTAAATTAACGCATGTAGGCATGACTTGATTATACGTGACAACTAATGCAAGCAACTGATAATCATTAACAGAGCTAATTAAAAAAAATCATACATTAAAATGATTATAAAAACGATTTATAAATTGGAGGCTTATATATCAAAATGACAACCATTTATAGGTTTAAACTCAAAATTATGTTGATCTTGTCATTTGACTAGAGCGAGTCAAATTCTAGTGTCATTTGACTTCAAACTTTTTGATCAATTTCAAATATAGATGCTTCCATAACTCTTCTATAGACTTAGGGATGATATCTAAGAAATAAATGGATATGTTTATGACTAGAAACGTTGATTAAGGGAGGAGGGGGTCGATGTAGTTTTTTGAGGTGGTACCGGCGGTACCTCCTAGTCATGATACCGTGAATGCAATTGGGTTAAGCAGGCTATGAAATAATTGATATCAGCGGCTTATAGAACCCGCTAGAAATTTTGTTTACTTTGCATGTATCTATTTGGCATTTGCTATGCACGTGCTTTTCATTTAATTTTCAAAGAAATAAAAAACACAAGAGGATCCATGCATGGTTGTCAAAATCGCGATCCTGATCGTAGGATCGTACGATCCTAGGTATGAAAAACGATCCGGATCGTAAACAGATCGTATTTGGGGTAGGATCGCAGGTAGGATCCCTAGGATTGTAGGATCGAGATTCTTTACCAATTTTATGTCTTTTACCCTTTACCAATTACCATTTATCATTTTGTGTTGTGAATTATGATTAATATTTTGAAGTTTTTATAACTTTTGAACGAAAAATTGAATGTTTGAAATATTTTTCATGATTAAAAATTATAAATTAAAATTATATTTTATTTTGTAAGATCTTAGGATACCGATCCCGATTTTGCAAACCCAAAAACGATCCTACGTAGGATCCCGATCTTAACAACCTTGTATCCGTGACCTTTTTTCTTTCATTCTTTTTCTCTTGTTTCTTTTTCTTTCATTACTTTTGTTTCCTAGGTAACTTTGTCTATCCAAAGTAGCTAGTCATTACAATTCATGTTGTTTTAGATTTTTTTTTTTTTTTTTTGGTTTCAAATTAGCAAAAAATTATTTTTAGAAAAAAATATTATGTTTTATTTTATCTAATATTTTTTAATTTAATTAAATAAAAAATAATGATGTGGCAAGTGGGTTGAGTGGGTTAGAAAAGATAGGGTTTTCATATGTTGTGGGTTCGGAAAGATGGAAAAGAGAGAAGAAAGAAAAACTGATGTGGTAGTGGGTTCAGTAGGTTGGGTATCCACATTAGTTGAGACGAATTCATTACCTATCTATTAACAATTAATTACTTAAACAATTGTGAATGTGACAACTAATCATCCAAACATCTCTAGAAGTGGAGTTGAGTATCCACATTAGTTGAGACGAATTCATTACCTATCTATTAATTTGTTCTTGTTTGAAATATTATGAGCATATACTATAAGAAATATTATATGCATCACCTACGCATTCACAAAATGAGATTTTTGAAAGAGTTTTGAAATGGGTATAAAACTTTAAGGTTTTAAAAATGAGTTTTTATCAATGATCATGTGCATTCATATTAGGGTAACAAATTGAAATTTGTGTGGTCTAGATAGACACTTGAAATTGACTCGGATATCCAAATGTAAATCGTTTCCTAGTAAACGTTCATGTGCGAAAGTTGTGAATATTGTGAATAGTTTCCCATGAATATATAATAAAAAGGTTCTAAAAGATATTAAAAGGCATTAAAAAGTTCTAAAAAAGTTTATAAAAATTTTGTTAAAAATAAATTTGTAAAAATGACTAGTCTTGAAATGGATTTATAAAAAAAAAAAAATAGATCAAATTTAAAGTTCGTAGCAAATTTGCAACAAATTTTTAAAATTTAGGTTAAAATAGAAAAATTGCAAATGAAATGCTAATACAAGTGTGACTTGGAATAGCAGGTCAAAAGACAAAAATATAAGTTGATTACTTTTCTATATAATTAATTGGGTTTGTTTCCGATATAAGTTAATTACCTTTCTACATAACTAATTGGGTTTGTTTACAATTTATAGACATTTTGAATATTTTGTTTTCAAAATCAATGTTAATCCTTTATTTTATTACATTCAAATTTAAGATAAATAAATTGTCAGATACTTTAATTATTTTTAGTTTGATTGTTTTATTTTTATTTATAATATTTTATTTTAAATTATTTCGATTAAAAACATATGCAAAATGTCTAGGCCTGAAAGGAGGATGTTACAGTTCCAACAAGTATTTTGCTTGCTTCCAGTCATTATGGTCCAAAACTAGACTGAATCAAATCGGAACCGATAATAGAATTTATAGATATGGAGGAACCAAGAACCGAGTTGAATTACATATTATGTTCCCAAACGGTTTTTGTTCCAGTTTGTCTTGGTTGTAATGGGTATTTGTTCATCCCTACTATGGACACAAGCGCCAATAAAAGACAAACGATAAAAGATTTTGGGATTGTTTGGCCTTAATGGAGTGGGTCAAGGACTCAAACAGGGGACACTAAGCCAACGATGCCCCTGAAAAACTCTACCAAATATGACAATGGTCGTCCCACTACCCAAAAAAGTTACGGACTTGAGTAAATTTGATAAGTCATGGCCTGACCAATAACCATCTTATCTCGATACACAAATATATAAACATGTCTACGCTCAATGTATGAGCTATGCAGCATTTTCTTCCATAAACCTACATTGAGCTTCTCTTTAACAAAACCCTACTAACTCAATGCTTCAAAGGGTAAAGCTTGAGAGCTCCTCCCATATTACCGTAAAGCCCACTCTTATCTTTCTTAGTGAATTTCAAGCAACCCATGACCTAAACGTGCGACGATGACTTTATCGGTGGTTATAACAAGCATGTGCGCTTCGACCCTTGTAGAACTCAACGTATCATCAGTTAATAAATACTAATAGACAAATATGTAGGATGTGTGTACTTAATTGGTATAATAATACATGAAAAACATGTTAGCCACCAAACACATTGGTACCAACTTTCTTGGTTTGGTTGGTTGATTAGGTTTGGTGCAAACTTAACAACCCTAACTACACCAACACAAACGGCTATATGCTCATTAGATCAAAAGAATAATAATTTTTTCCAAGGGGGTATATAAGAAAACCTGTTTTTTACCCAAACCGATTCAGATTGTCCAATACCAAACCGATCACTAACCGACGGTTCTACTTCAAACCACATTGATTTCAATTTCATATAAACTTGTTTCAAACATAATATGGTTCAGATTCAATACCCTTTTTTTGCTCGCCTACATAGAAACATCTAAATTCCTTAAAAATCCAAATAATGACCGAAATGTCAGATAGGATAATGCGGAAGCATATAATCAATGTAATGGAGTAGACTTTTGAATATAAAATTTGTCCTTATTTGTTTCACTTCTAGACCGACCCCAATTTGTGTGTTTGTTTGTAGTCCTATGAGTTTGATTATTGTCCTTATTTATCGTAGACTTATAAGTTATAAGTGATAGTGTAACGTCTCAAAATTTAAAGCCAAAAATTTTGTTTTCATAATAATAAAAACCATCAACCAAAACTTGTTTATAAAAACCATACAAGAAAATCAGAGTATGTCAATCAAACAACCCAATACATCAGAGTCATATAAAACAGAAATCATGGTGTGTGCGAAGCGATTATCCCGAGCCCTTCCCTTTCGATCCAGAAGTACCTGAAACATAAAATGAAAATTGTAAGCACGAAGTTTAGTGAGTTCCCCCAAAACACCTCATACCATACATAACAACATACGATGGGCCATGCCCGACAACCATAATGCCCCGCCCGACATCGAGCCTCGCTCGGAACAGATATGTCAATGACATGAAATGGGCCCCGCCTCATCACATTCATCAGGCCCCACCTGGCATTCATACAGACACATAAAAACACATGCAAGAATCGCTAAGATAAATAGCATACAATACACTCATCAGGCCCCGCCTGACATTGGACCCCGCCCAGTATACATATCACATATCACACATGTAAGAGTCACACATACAACTAGCATCCTAATCATAATAAACCATGGGTCGGCATTGGTGCCTTCGACCTGCCAAGCACAGTGAGGAGATGTCACACCCCCAAACCGGAACGGCGGAAACGTTCGGGGGTGGATGACTTCATGTTAAGTATCACAACACATGCATCATAGTAATCAAAGTAATAACAACCATTATATTGATAGTATAATATTTACATTATGTTCAAAACATTACTTGAAATACATAAAAAGTACAACAAAAGTTAAGACGTAAAGCTCCGTCTTCGCAACACCTGGGAGAGAGTACCTGTCTACTAACGACCCTGAGAATACAAGTGGTTTGAAAAAGTGTCAACATTAAAGTTGGTGAGTTCATAAGTATTTTTGTTATAGAAAGTATATTCTTTATTCTTTTGAAAAGTTCGCCAGTTCCTCCAGAAAATCCTTTATTTTCAGTTGATAAATGATAAGTAAAACAACTCATGATTGTTCCTTCTACGAGTACTTAGTGAATACAAGTCATATACATTCAGATCGAACAGACAGTCGACTGTGTGGTTCTGCCCCAAGCCCACAACCAAACAAGGAACAGGAAATGAGGCGGAATCCATACATCCCACTA